TAAATAAATAAGGTTGAACTATCGATAAGCTGTACCAGGAACTACATCGACAACATGAACCCTCTCTGTTCAATGGAAAGGCTGCGGCTCAATGCCCTCATCCACTTTGAGAGAACACACAGCTCTGGAGCCTTTTACATCTGCTGCTCCAGAACTTTTGACTAGCTTCTAAGGAACATGCCACATCACGAACTATGGGAGGATCGCCACACCTCCTGCTAGCATGCCAAGTCAGGACGGATCAACACAGGTTCGTGTTCGCTCTTCGTTCCGTTACCAGTCCAGAATCGATCTATGCTCTCAGCAGGTGTGGCTAGTCAGCAGTCAGTGGCAGCGCGGTTAAACTCACTTCACCTGCGCCTCCTCTTGCTGTCCTTGCTGCGGGCCTCCCTGGCTTCCTTGCTGACCTTCTTGGAGAAGTCCTTGTACTTGTCGATGGCGTCCAGGACGAAGGCGGTGGTCTGGGTCAGCCGGTCGGGGGTCAGGTAGGAGCGCATGGTGTTCCTGGTCAGGCCCAGGCCGAGGAAGGAGATGGTGCAGAAGGGCGTGAAGGCGCACACGGCCGTGGTGAAGGCGCCGCCGATGAGCAGCAGGAAGAGGAAGCCCAGCAGGAACAGCCCGACCTTAGGGAACAGCTTGATGCCGATCTTGGGGAGCGCGAGCGCGCCGAGCAGCCCCAGGGGGCCGGGGGCGGCCACGGAGTGGCCCTGGTACGGCACGAGGTAGCCCTCGTAGCCGGTCTGGACGCTGAAGCCGGGCTCAGAGTAGCTGTAGGCGTAGGGCACGTAGGCGGCGTCGTCCTGGGTCAGGGCGCTCACCTCGGGCCCGGCAGGTGCGGGCGCGGAGTAGGCCTGGGGAGGGCCGTAGGCCGCGGCGGGGGCGGAGGAGCCAAGGGCCGCGCCCTGCTCGACCTGCTGGGCCAGGACGGCCCCGGGGGCCGCGGCCAGCGCCAGGACGACGAACAGCAGAGGAAGCATCCTGGGGAAGGCCATGGCGAGCGTGCCGGTGAGTAACAGGGCCTCTAAGTCTCTCGCAAACACACACGCAACAGATCCAACCTACCTGTAAGTGGTAATCCTGTTCGGCTTCACGCTGCTGCACAAATCACTCTGGGCCACACACCCGTGGTCCGCTCCTCTTGGGGGCTGGTCAGGCAATGGCTGTTGTCCGCTCCCACCCCCGCCTTTATACCCGCCCGCCCTGCCCCGCCCTCACCGTGCCCCGTCGCCCTGGAGGGGAGGGGTAGGGGAGGGGGCGGTCCCTCCGGAGGGAGGGTGGCGGGCGGACTGCGCGAGGGCCGGAGTTGTGCTCGAGGCCTGCAGCAAAAATTTTTATTATTCATGTATGTTGATTTTTCTCCCGTGTTTTAAGGTATCATCTGCTAAAATCTAGGGTTCGCCTGGGTTCACAGTTAGTTCATAGTAATTCCTGAAAAATCAGGGCCGATGACTGAAAATTGTCTTCCTTGCAAATCTGACTCAGCTCTATCATGTTCTGGATAGTTCTGGAGCGTAGGGTACGGGGAAGGGACAAGTGCTACGTTGGTTTGGGGCAACAAACAGTACCCAAAAAAATGTGTTCTCAATTCAAGTATTGCTCTTAAAATTTTGAGCCCCATTTCTTGTTTTAAGTCCTATTTGTTCCTTAAAACAAGAAATGGGGCTCAAAATTTTAAGAGCAATACATGAATTGAGAACACATTTTTCTGGGTGAGGCTGAATGAAGCTCCCAAGTATGCACCCTGTAGCCACTGAGCTCGTGCTGAGCAGTGCGCCCGCCCGCCAAGCTGCAACCTGCAACGCTGCAGCGCCTCCACCCGTTGCCGAGCACACGGCCCGCGGCGCAGCTCGCGGCTTGGGGCGCACCCCGCAGGCCGCGTGCCCGCGCGTGACGGGGGTGGCAGGCTCGGTGGTAGCCGCGCCGTCCGCTCAGCTCCAGAGGCATCTCAAGACTCGCGAGCTCCGGCCCGCCGGCCAGGTCCAGCAGCCGGGCTGGGCTGCAGCCCGCCTCAGGTCTTGGCTGGGTCCGCCGCTCCAGGGAATTCCAGTGAGGGGCGCGCGTGCCGCCTCCGGCCGCCTCGTCTGACCGCAAAGAAAGCGGCGCCCCAATTTTCTACGAGAAACCATCCTCACCTTTGAACGACCCCATATGGACCGCTGAGCGCTGCGTATGTTTCGAAGGCTCAGCTCCAGTGTTTA